GGCTCTGTGCTGGTCTTTTACGGTGTCCCCTGGCCCAGCCCAACTCGGGCACTGAAGTGTCTTTGTTCACTTATCTCAATGTGGGTCAGCAGGACCGGTTTCTTTCCTGTGGATACGGGATCAGCTCTTCTTGTCCCTTCTCTGTCTCTCCTTCCAGCTCTCTTGCCCAAGGCTGACCACACTCCTTCATTGTCAAGAGCACACGGCTTATCTATTTTCCATGTTCGAGGCAGCCAAAGGCTTTTAAAGATAATGAAAATCTCTCAACTGCAGTTTTGAGCTGAAAAGAATTTGCTAGATTTGCTGGTACAAGGAGTTACAGGAATGTTCTTCTAGTACTTGTGGTCAGGAATCCTTGGGGGTTGGGGATTCACCAGAAGCATAGTCGTATGACAACGATTAGATTATTGCATGGGGAAGGGGCCTTTATTTTGGGTGAGAAGAAGGTCCAATAACTTTTGCAAAAGAAGTAGCAACTGAGCCTTGAAGTAATAGCAACCCAGACAGAGGCAGGGGAGCCGGGGTCAAGGCAGGGGGACCACCACTGCAGAGGGAGCCACCATGGAGGAGCAGGACATTTCAGATGTGGGGAGGTCAGCTGCTACCCACGGGCGTGTGAGGTTGACTTAGCTGGTTAGGCTGGCCAGGCAGGTGCCCTCTGTCCCCACCCTCCTTGGTCCACATTCCATACATGCCCTTCCTGAAGCTGCTCCCTTCTTGACACTCAGGAAATCAACCTCCTCTGTCAAGACATAAAGGCCAGCGTGCTTTTCTGTCCAGCACATACAGGATGAGATCCCAGGTACAGCTGAAGCATAAAATGTGTGCGTGGAGGCAGCCGGGAGTGGAGGAGGGAAAGGACTGTGGGAAATGATTCTTGAAAGACCTGCTCATGGGGGCCCTGTATGCTGGTCCAAGGAGCTGGGTCTCTCCGTGGGCAGTGGGCGACTGTGGAGGAGTAACGTGGTCAGATGAACATGGAAGACAGAAAAGAGGAGGAAAGACGGGACAGGAGGCCAGAGACGACCTAGAGCCCAGATGTGAGACACAGGGGACTGAGCTGGAGAAGCCGTGAGGACGGGGAGGCTGGGGGGTTCCAGTGAGCTTCAGCGGGAACGTTTGTGCCCAACTGAAGGTGTGGATCAAGACTCAGGCGAGCACTTGCCCCCGGTCTCTGCCTTGACCACAGGTTCCACTAGCCAAGATGGGTAGCCCAGAAAGGGAGGGTTTCGGGGAAGACCATCAAAGCCTGTTTCAAATCTGTGGCTTTTCAGAGGCGCAGAGGACAAGAGGGCAGCCAAATGCATTGGTTTGAAGCTCACTGTGACTCAATGCAGGTGAAAGGGCAAGGAGTAGTGGAGAAGAATGGAAGGCCATCTTTAGGACATCCTTCTCGCAGCTCAACAACCCATTTACAAGGCACCGTGGGGCACAGAAAGAGAAATCCCACCTTAAGAAGGCTGCTTGGTTTTAACCATGGCCATAAACTCAGGTTCCACACCTGAGTGTGAGAAGTGTGTTCCAGAAGGATGCTGTTGTAAGGTGTAAGGCTTTTATCTCTGTGTCCATCTCCCAGGTTTCCTCTAAGCTGGACATACCTCTCTCTCTCTCTCTCTCTCTCTCTCTCTCTCTCTCTCTCGAGATACTTGAGAAGTTAAGACCATATTTTAGGAAATGTGAAGCATAACAATTGATTTACCAGTGGTTTGCTTCTTATCCTGCCTTGAGCTATAACACAACACTGTTGGTTGTAATAGTTCCCCCCAAATGGAAGGTGCATCTTTGTGGAAATCCCCACCTTAGAAAGTAAAACCTCGGGGGAATTGGGGAAAATTAACATAGTGTATTTATTTTATTAGGGTGAAAAGCCCTTTTGAAAGATAATTTCCTGCACATGGCTATTTTTTTGTTTGCATACCCACAAGTACAGTCTCTTAGTTGATGTTAAAACTTGAGAAGGAAATGGGAAATATTTAAGAAAATCTTTTAAATAGGTAAGCAAATGTTTAAAATATTTAAGAAATATTGAAAATACTTATGTAAATATTTAAGAAACATGAATTTGCACGAAGAACTGTAAGACCACAGTTCTTTCCCCTGGAACTTAAACTTTGGAGAAAAGATAGAATTTTGAAAAATCAATTTTATTACATACATTTCAAAAGTGCAGGTAGGTATTTTATGTCATAAACAATTGAGAAACAGTCACCAAAAGCCTATAATGGCCTCTCATTTACCCATGAACTTGAATATTTTACCAATACTTACATAATCTCTTAGAAAGTTCCTATTTATAGTATGAGCTTTCTTCTCCAGGAAAAAAAAAAGATACCAGTGAATTCATGTAGAAAATATGTCTTGGTTCTCTTTATTTAAGCATTTTAAGTTCAGTTCCTCTTTAGCCATCTTCCAGCCAGAGGAACACAGCAACACACTTTGCTCCTCTTTCCCGGATCCTGAGGTGTGTCCCCTTTTATGGACTCAGAGGGACTTTTCAAATTAACTCGGGTTTTCACAGCGCTCTTTCCATGTCCCTTGAGGCGCCTCAGCATGAGGGACTGACTTCAGCCCCATGGCGGGCTTGCTTTGCTTGGGTGAGTTAGAAAACCCTTGGCGATGTGGGTTACCTGGGTTTCAGCACTTAGGGGGGGAACCGTAGAAGGAGCCAGAACACGTGAATCAGTGTAAAGGAGGCCCTCAAACCCAAAACCTTTGTGAAACTTCACTGAAAATTCCGAGCATTTTCAATTAAGTCTAAAGACCCCAGGTTGTCTCCCCCAGGAAATGGGTTCCCTTTGGTCAAGTTGTTTGTGTCTGTCGGTTGGTTGGTTGGTTTAATCTTTTAAAGGATGGACTGAGTCAGGGCTCCAGGTAGAGAAAGTAAAATCACAGTTCTAAAATCTAATGGGCCATGGTTCTAATCCATAAAGCTAATAACATTTTAGCAAAATGTCATGGGTTATAATTGCAAGAAACCTTCGGGTCTGAAGAACGCCGACTGAGGGCAGCCCTAGAAGGATTCACTCTGGAGCCAGCCAATGACTCTGGGCTTAGGAAGAGCGGTGGAAGGGCTTCCTTCCTCAGCAGGCTGCAGGGTGTGGGGTGGGGCCTGCTGAGACCTCAGGAATAACTGCGTTGATTAAAATGCATGTAATTCAAGTGTGCCAACTAGAAAGGCAAGGCCAGTTTTATTTGGCTGTGCACTACTGTGAAACAGTACCTTTTGGGGTTTTGGCCTAGTTTTCCCTGGACAGCGTCCTGCGCTTTCTTGAAGCTACTGCTTCCTGCCCTCGCAGACACTGAAGAGTAGGGCAGCTTTTTTCCTTTCAAAGGAGACACCCTTTCTGAGCCCCACTTTTCATCATATGGTAAGAAACACTGTAAATAATTGAGGTGATCCATCAAGAGACCCATTCTTGATAATGAAAAATCACATAACTCAGTAAAAGTCAATTAAAAACCACAAACTTCAGAACCTTTTGCTCAGTGAAGATTTATTGTCATAGAAGGCATCTAATACAATAGGTATTGGGGACTCAGAATTCTTAAAAGTTCTAAAAATGCAGTTAAAGCTTGACAATAAAGTTGAGTAGGATTTATACAATAGCAGAGTATATGAGTTCTTTGAAATGAAAAGGTATTTTTTTTTTCTTTCCAGCTTTACCATAAGATGTTTGAGATGTGAGGATTTTATAACAACCTTAGAAGCGATGTCCACTGTGTGGGGTATTTACTTTCTTACCAGGGTTTCAAACGACTCTTACTCTTTGGTTGTGCCTATACAATGAAAGTCTACAAATTAAGAAAAGTCAGGAGTTTTTCCTTTGTTAAACTAAATATCTGAATAACTAGAACTACCTAGATAAGAGACAAAATGTTTTTTATTATCTGGTTGTTTGGTTAGGACACAGTCAGCATTTTAATAGAATGCACTATCTTATACAACTGTATATAGTGTTTTTTGTTATTTCATTAACAAAGACTTTTGTTTCTTTAGAGACGTCCAATGCTGCTTGAGTAGCCAAGGGGAAAATGTCAAGTCTCTGAAACATTATATCTAGAACACTTTCCTTTCTTTTAGTGGTTTTAAATGCCCGAATATAAATTCAAATGGCAACCTCTATGTTCAACCCCCCCTCCCCGAATCTGTCTATTTGTTTTGAGACTCAGTGACCACCAGTATGAGTTTCAAACTCTGCTCAAAGGCTTAGGTAGGGTTCAGCAGCTGGGCATGATAAACACTCAACTCCAACCAACATTGCACATGTGACATGCTTCCTACTGAAATTAAACTGCCAAATAAAAAGGAGGAATTGTGCCCTTCTTAATAACAAAGAATGCAATCGTTAGAATTCTTTAGATTTGGAATTCCAGCAGTGTGCTAGTGTTTTCCTCTTGATGTGTGACAAGAATGAATAATATAAAAAAATAAACATAAATCTCACCTAAACAAGCAGTCCTTTGATTTCATAAGGCTCAACATCAAATATATCAAATTCTAAAAATACCCAAGACCAGGAAAATATCAGAGCCGAGGGGGAAAAATGCTGGGAGTGGACAGATTTTTAAACCCTCCGAAAGGGTTTTAACCTCCTAGCACTGACTGCGTTCATTTCTGCAGAGACACTACCACTTCAGCTACTAGGGACCATGATGTTTCATATTCATATAAATATTTGACTTTGACCTCATAAAAAGTCCCTTGGGTCTATAATACTTTTATTCTTGTATAATCTGAAACAAATCCTTTCCTTTTAAAAATCAAACAGACCACGTTACACACACAGTTGACTATTTACAAAGCACCCAATTAAATCCTACTTAATTCTCTCACTCTAACAATTCCATCTAACTGGTGTGTAGAGCACCCATCATATTAAATGCATAATGTTCTCAAACCCTGACGGGCCTATCTAACCTAAAAAATAATACCTTCCTTGAGGAGAAGGGCCTTAAAAATAAGTTTTAAGGTTTTAAAGAAATGAGTCCAGAAATCACAGTACAAGACGGATAAATCTACTTTAATTTTCACATGTAAAAGTTACACATCACAAGAGATTGGACAGTAGCTTTGCGGTAACTGACATAGCTATAGTGAAAATCATTTTTATAAAAAAATAATCTAGATGCGGTCATCAGAATTTTTGGTCTACTTAAGTTAATGTTTGAAGATCGACTTTTATCCCTGCTTGAAGGATTTGCCATTATGCCTTTTATTTTTTCTCTCCCACTGTTAATATTCTTTGGAGGAAGGAAGAAAATGATCATTTCCAAGAGTGTGTCCTTTGGTAGCAAGCAGAGAACATTTTTCATTTCTGAGTTAAATAATCTGTACAGATATGAAACTTCATGACATTATGCTTTAGTGTAAAATGAAGAGTGACAAGCAATTTTTTTCTCTTTGATAAAACAGATTTTGTAAACTCCTTAAGGATCCAAGCATTTCCCATCCTATATGTAGAATCATTCAGAATCCATTTTGACCTCAGTTTAAAAAAAACAAAAACAAAAACAAACACTTACTCTTTATATATTACACTATAAAACCCTGTACTTAAAAGTTGATAAGGTATATTTTCAACATGTACACTTCAAATACAAAGATTTCAATGTAGGTTAAAGAAAACACATTTTAATGGACTCAGAACATGTTTATTTTGTGATTAAACATCTCATGCAGTCATGCGAGACCACTACCTATAACTGCTACTTCAGAGTCTTCCATACTGGGCAAAACAAAAAACAATTAAAAGCCAGGCCAAACAGAAAAGACATTCAAGATATCAAGAGCTCTGCAACTGAGCTGAAAAATCATTTTCCAAAAGAAATATTCCCACAGATTAAAAAAAACACACACATAATATTTACAAAAAATATTTAATTAAAAATATCTTATAATTACAGTAGTCTATTAAAGCATATACTTTCTCACACTTATAGAACATCTCTATATATACATGGTATGAAATGTCACTCAGTTATCTATACAATATGTAACATTCTTGCAGAGAAAAGAAAGTTCCCTGCCCCGTTATAATCATCTATTTTAAACAATAGATGTAAAAAAAAATATCTACAATGCTCTGCGGTATATTAGTAAAGCTTCAAAACAAAAATTGAGCTCCTTGGTCACAAAGTAGCCTTCTAAAGTCGGATTTACTCTGGATCATCTATTTATCAGTCCTGTCACACTTAAGAGTTTAACTGCACCTCCAAAAACCACAGAAATGTACAATTCACAGCGGTTATAAATGAAGAGACAAAAGAGAATAGGTATGTAGAATGTTTATGGACGTGCAAAAAAAAAAAAATGAAGTTTTATTTTCTTTCCTGTCCCTCTCTTGGAATGACGAGTGAAACGTTTCTACATTTGCTGATGTGTTTTCCTTTCCTCCGTGGCTTTGCTCTAACTTCTGCTCTTCCCCCTCCCTCTCTAGAGCTCCTGGCTCGGGCTCAGGCGGCCGCACACCTGTGGAAGAGGAATGAATAGAGGGGTGTGTGAACCTCCCCGCTGCAGACTTGCTGGCGCCACCGACAAACTCAAGACGTGCTCGATCAACAACCCAAACAAACCGCCAGGTCAGACCCCACCCGCAGCCCTCGGCGGCGCGGCGCCCGGGAGGTAGCGCGAGCCGCTGGAAGCCCGAGCGCGGACCTGCCCGCGACCCTCTTGACGGGTGTCGGGCGGCGCGGGGGAGCCGGGGAGGCGTCCACGCCCCCGAGGGTGCCTTCCCTAGAGGTGCCGAGAGGACAGGGCGAGCCCGCCGGTCACCCGAGAGGCCCGGGGACGCCGGGAGGAGAGCGGACTAGTGTCCCTTCAGAGGGCAGCCGGGTTCTAAAGCGACGTGCAGGTCCGCCGGCTAACTGGGTGGCGGAGAGGAGCGTTCACTTCCTCGGGAGTTTACACTCCGAAACGCCACGGGCCAAGAGCACCGCGGGGCCTGGCACCGGAAGCCCCCGGGGAAGGGCGTCTCTGGTGATCTGCCACCCGAGACGCGAAAGGCGCGCTCACCTGGACAGCGCGGCTCAGCGGCACAGAATGCTGTCGCCCTGCTTGTTCACCGATCCGGCCTGGAACAGCAACCGAACACCAAGGGAAAGGTTAGCGGGCGCAAACGACGCTCTCGTCACGGTCCTGGGCGTCCTCGGACACCGAGCTGGCGCGCTGAGCCCCCACCCAGTCTGCAGCCGGGGAGACCCCTCCGCCGGACTGGACAGCACAGGGGTCGCGCAGCCCCGAGTCCTGCCCCGCGCGTTCTCCCCATCCGCGCTTATCCGGCTAGCCGGCAGCAGGCGGCCCAGGTGCCTGGAGAAGGAGCTGGGGGCTGTCATTCTCGGCCGGCCCCCACTCCGAAGAGAGGGAACGCCCGCTTCCCGCCACCCTGCCACCCCCCTCCTGCACCCCCTGTGGCGTTGGGCCCAGCCGCCACCGGGCCTCTCACCGGGTCGGTATTGAGCGCAGTGAGCGGGGTCCGCGGCGGCGCGGCCGGACAAGATCCGGCCGGGTGGTGCGGCGGCGCAGGCGGCGGTGGCTGTCTCAGCAGAGCCGGGTGCGTCTCCAGCGCCAGCTGCAGGTCCAGGATGTAGTCGATAACGTGCTGCAGGATCTCCACTTTGCTGACTTTCTTGTTGGGCGGGATGGTGGGCACCAGCCTCCGCAGGCGACTGTAGCAGTCGTTCATATCGCACTGCAGGCACAGCGCCGGCTCGTCGGCCGCCGCCTCAGCCGCCTTGCAGCGCGCTGCCGCCGCCGCGGCGGCCGCGGCGGCCGAGCCTCCCAGGCTGTGGCCGTGTTCGGCCAGACAGCGCAGCGCCAGCTCCCCGCCGCCGCAGCCCGACGGCGCCTTGCGGCCCGAAGGGCGCACCGGGCTCACCGCCTTCATCGCGCGCGCCCTGCGCCCTGCGCGAAAGGACTGGCTGGGGCAAGCGAGGGAGGTCGGCAAGCTTCGCTTGGCCCCCGCCTGCGGCTGGCTCCTCTCCCCTTGCCTTCGCGCCCGGCGCGCTCGGGGCTCCCGGCGATCCCGAGCCCAACAATTGATGGAAAGGTCGCTCAGGTTTTGCGAGGGGAATCTCTGCTCAGTGGGCGACACTCGGCCCGAACCAAAAGGCAAGAAAAATCGGAAGTACCGGTCGAAAAGGAGCCCACCCGGGACCCCTTGTTACTCCCTTCGGAGCTGCGACTCAGCCGGACCGCCGTCGCCGCCGCCGCGCTCCCCTAGCCCGAGAGCTCCCGGCTCCCGGGACCGACTCACTACCGCGCCTCCTCCACTGCGCTCTCCCGCAGCCGGCAGCGCAGCGGTATTTATAGAGCCTCGCGCCCCGGGGGCGGGGCCAGCGCGCGGGCCGGGTCGCTGCGCGAGCGGAGCGGAGCTGGGCCCCGCGCGCAGGCGGGTGCGCGGAGGGAGGTGGCGAGGGTGGGGGCTTCGGGCGGTGCTGGGAGGCGGGGAGCCGGGCAACCCGAGCGGCGGGAGGGGTGCGGAGTCGGGAGTGGCCAGCCAATCAGGAGGGCAGTGCCACCTCAGGGAATGACGCTCGGGCCAATGGGAAGGGCACTCCATTCCGTCAACGCCGTGGGTCGGGGCTCTGAGAAAAGAGAGCAGGGTGGGAGTCGGGCCAGGCGGGTGTGTGCCCAGGGGAGGGGAGACGCGAGAGAAGTTCCTGCGAAGAACTGCGGGAATGTGCGGCTGGAATTCACTCTCCTCCCGCCTGGGCTGCCGAGGGAGCGCTGGGCCCGGCTCGCGGATTCCCTGCTACTGCCAGCGGCGCGGCCCAGGGTCCCTCTGCCACCCGTCACTCCATCCCTGGGATTCCAGTGCCTTAAGAAAGACGCGCTGTTCAAGAAGGCACGTTCGTTCTGTTCCGTGTTTCCCCCTCCGTTTCATTATTCGCCTTTTCACAATTGCTGAAACCATAATGATGGAATGGAATGTGGAGCCTTCCGTTTTCTTTCTTTCTTTCTTTCTTTCTTTTAACGCTAAAGCTTAGCAAAAGAAAAGAGAAAGCCGGATCGAATGCAGGGTTTTTTTTTTTTTTTTTTTTTTTTTTGTTTTGTTTTGTTTTTTTGGTGAAGGAAAATATAAATAAAACAAAACCGTCAGGGGTTTTTCTTTTACTCGTCAAATGCATAAGTGGGCTAAGGAAATGCGATTGCCTTGTACATAAATTAGAGCGCGTAAAGATTAAAAATGCATGGACAAGGAGTATTTAAAATTCTGCTATGACATATAATATTAATCCGTTTTATGTAAAATTCATACCTGTAACTTAATTTAGGCCATTAATGCACCACTTCACGCATTAGCGTATCCTGCTTTAAATAAGGTGGTGAGAATGTCCAGTCTCCTTTGGCAACAAAGCATAAAATTCACACTTCCAGTCCTGAGATCCTGCTTGGGCCCCACCCTGCAAAAACGCCTGTTCATTAAGGACGTTTTGTGTTCGATTTCTAACGGAAAAGCTGTCCTTCAAGGGTTCAAAATTAAACTGCACAATGAACTCTGGTGGGGCGTTGTGTGTACCCTTCAAGAAATAATTAAGCCCTTCAGATGAGAAATGAGCATAAAAACTCTTAGTGGGGAAATGAATTTTGAGTGGCTTCACCCTGCAAACCCTCCCACCTTTAGACACGCTTGGAGATGAATTATCCCAAGAATTTTCTTCCTTCATGTACATGGCATGCATTGCTGTCTTCATTTTCATTGAAAATTGAGAGAAAGAGATGTGGAGCCCATTTCTTCGGGTCTGCCCCCTGTGTGGACTTGGTTTTCTTCCTGTCTGCCTCCCTTCCCAGAACTGAAATACTTGCAGAAGACAAGTATTTTGTTTCACCATGTGGCTACTTTATGACAATTGCACTATTTCCCCAGAGCACATTCCTTTTTCCTGATGAAGGAAGAGCAACTATTTAATACTGGCTTCACAGGTAGATGCAGTAACCTCCTGTCCCCTAAACCTCATTCCTTGTTGCCTCTAATATTTGTTTAGAAGCAAATGACACTCTCATTTATGTATGTGCCTGTGTAGGATAGTCTCCATTTATCAAGAAAATCAGAATTATACAAGTCAAAAGAAGGATTTTCTTCTCAAACCAGGCCTAATCCTATACATTTGTAAAGTAATATAAATATACACAGAGAATACTGTGATTTTAGACAGATAGCGGGGGGGGGGGGGGGAGCCCCAGTGGGTGGAAGCTATTTTCTTGGAGCCTGTCATATCAGCACAGATGATAATGATAAATGGATATATGTACAGATGTTTTTGTTCCATGATTTTTCTTGTATATAGAATTTAAAATCTGCTTCCAAATGAAAAACCCAAGATTTTTCAAAATTGAAGTATGTGAATGTGTCCAGGGCACACCCATATTTAAAAATTTTATATATCCTAACTTGATTAAAATTTAAGTTTTAAGTATGTGACACAAAGGAACAATCATATTTATCATTTTGGATTTTGCTAGATCTCAAAGAGACCCACACCTTGGGTGTGGCCAATGCCAAATGCCACAGTTTCAAGTTTTGTTGGAGGTGGTTTTTGTGTCTGACTGAAAGTTAGAAAGGGTGACTTTCTTTGGGAGAAGGGAGTTCAAAGGATTTATCGTAGCCACTTGATCAAGAACATCCAGGAAAACTGTGATCTCCAAATCCTGCCAGCAGAGTAGGCAGGAGCAGTTAACTGTATTCCTCGTTTTGAAGGTGGGAAGACATGAAGACTTTGGAAAAAAAAAAACCCATAAAACTTTATATAGTAGGAATAAGAATATGATCCTGTCCTTTTTGACCCATGAAACTAGAGAATAGTAGAGGCTACACGCTGAATGTTGTTTTCTTAGCCATAGGCACTGAGATGATGTCAAAAACCTGAAATCATAAGACTCCTGGCACTGAGAGTTCAAAACAGAGTTCATTCAGCAGTTACCAGGTTTTGAATAAACTGTGCAAGCCACATTATTTCTACTGCTCAGAGAAAGACATTTAGTTTACCTGTGGCTCTTGCTTTAATATCAAAGTGTTTTACTTGCGCTTGTGAAAATGAGGTGGGCTGGCCCAGAGCTCATTACAATGGACATTCTAGGGCCCCTCACACTCACCTCAGTGGGCCTGGGGTGAAACATGATAGAAGGAGCACTAGGAAACCTTGGTGACCAGGGTCGTGTACACACCCCTCCCAGGACAAAGAGATCTGCAGTGCTACCTGGGAAGCATTCTGAATGCCAGTCGGACCCTTGCAGATCTGCGACACCCAGGCTCCGAGATTTCACAGTCACCCTGTTTACCCTAAACAGGGGTACCCAAGCATATGGGGCTGTTCAGCCTGATGTCTCTAGGAGTGGATACTTTCTTCTTCAAGGACTGGTGGGGAATAGTGGGTGGACTCAGACCTACAGAAAAACATGTGTTCCATACCTTGGTCACTCTCTAGGTGTAAGTGGTTGCTGAAGGAGGTACACACATTCTTTGGGAGCATAAGAAACCACTCTGTACTCTACAGCCGGAATGGCCCTTGCTCCAAAAGAGTAAGTTGGGCAATGTGGGAACTGGAGCTCAAGGCTGCTGTATAAGCACTAGTGCTGATACAAACTTACTCCTGTTGCCTTTAGGTTGCTGAGGCCAGGCTGGAAATACTGATAACCTCTTGGTTTGCTCAGTCTTACAAAAAAGGCTTACAGAAAAAGGATGTTGTAAATTCAGTGTGGCCTACTAGACATGGCCCCGCAAAATACCCATCCCAGGAGGTTTTCAAGGTAGTCTGGTTTAATAAGATGTAGCTATGTTTTAAAAAGTCCTCCTCAGGCTGGGGGGGAAAAAGGAAGGAAAAAATGGCATTTGTTTTACCTTGGAGACATGAAGAGTTTAGGTTCTGAAGTCGATAGATAGTCTGTGCTCCAATTTTGGCTTCCTTGCTAGTTACTTTTATATCATTAAAGTAGCTTCCTAAACACCTGTACCTTTCAATTACAATAAAAATTATATGTACTTCATAAGGTGCTTATTCAATACACAGACACACTTAAATGGCCTCTGGGCAAGAAAGTATGTTGAGTGAATGTCACATAGTAAGTGGGCAATGTTAAAATTTTTGTTGCTTTTGATAAATATTATCTCACAGTCTGTGGCTTGTCTTTATATTCACTTCATCTCTTTCAAGAGCAGAAGTTTTAAATTTTGGTGAAGTCCAGTTTGTCAGTGTGTCCTTAATTCAGGGTGACATAGATTTTCCCCTATGTTTGGGTATCTGGTCCTTGTTTTCTGTATTATGTTTAAGTCTATGATTTATTCTGGAGGGTTTTTTTTTTTTTTTTGTATGTGGCGCAAGATATGGGTGAATATTGATACTTTTGCATATTTTAATTCAGTTGTTCCTGAAACTTTTGTTGAAAAACTTCTTTTTGCCTTAAATTGCCTTTGCGGTTTTGTCAAAAGTCATTGTATATAGGTGTCCGTCTATCTGTCCTCTAAATTCTGCTCCATTCTTCTACTTACTAGTTTTTATGCACAACCATGTTGTGTTTATTACTATAGCTTCATACTAAGCCTTGAAAGCAGATAATGTTGGCCATTGAGCTTCCTGCTGCGTTCCTCTTTTTGACTATTCTGGATATATTGCATTTTCATATGAACTTTTGAGTCAGTTTGTGAATTCCTTCCAAGAAGGACTTACATTCAAAACATATAAGGCACGGAGAACTCACTAGGAGAGTGCCTGTGTAGCATGCATGAGCCTCTGGGTTTGATTCCTAGCACAGAAAAAAAAAGTGTTCACAAAACATATAAAGTATCTCTACCCATGATATATAAAGAACTCTCAAATTCAACAGTAAGAAAGTGAACAACCCCAGTTTTAAAAGTGGGCAAAAGAGTTGACCAGACAACCTAGTAAAGAAGAAATAAAAATGGTAGATGAATACATGACAAGCTGCTTGATATCATTAGTCATACGAAGCATACATTTCACAACTACAATGAAGCATTACCACATACCTGTGAAAACTGCTAAAATTAAAGACTGAACATGCTAAGTATTGGTGATTCTGGAGAGCAGCTATCATGAACTGTTGGTGGATAGGAATATAAAACGAGGAAGACTACCTTGGAAAAGAATTTGGCAGTTTCTTAAAAAGTTAAACATTGCCAGAGGTGGTGTGTGTCAGCCCACCTACTAGGGAGGTCAAGGGAGGAGGATCACAAGTTTGAGGCCAGCATCAGCAATTTAGCAAGACCCTGTCTCAAAACAAATAGGGCTGGGGATGCAGCTCAGTGGTAAAGCACCCTTGGG